GTGAGAGAAACGGTCCGTTACACCTCCCACACTATAGGCCCTTTCCCCACTTGCAGCCATCTCCACACTTCAGTCCCTAACCCTCTACTACAGTATCTATCCCCCACTACATTTTCTAACCCACTAATTTCAGCCCATACCCTCCACTACAGCTCCTACTTCTCCACAACAGCTTTTTCAACCAACCAATCAGAGTGTTGTTATTAGTCAAATTACGCAGCGTGGGAAAGCATTTTCCCTCACTGTGTAAAATGACACAGAGCACTATGACCAATCAGAGTGCTGTGACAGGTAAATGTAGAGACTTGGGGCGGAGCTTACCAGCCGAGCGAGCCAGAAGCACATGGCGAGAGCTCCCATATCTGAAACCTTGATTCTGGGCATTATGCCCAACCACCGGATCGTGCCGGCAGCAGACAACCATCCTCATATCCAGAAGGGGATGCTGAGTCTGGAGATACCTGATCCGGGGCTCCCCGCCCACACCACAACCCGCGGCCTGCACGGGTGGGAGCCGCGGAGAGACGGCCGCTCTCCCGGTTCTCAGGCTGAAGAGGGGACACTCACACACTGCTCCCCCCCCCCATGGACCGGCGGGGATATCCCGGTCCCCGCCAGTATGGAAAACTACAAGCCGAGACATCATAGCAGCCGCTGAACTTTCAAGAAGAATGGAAGCGGCGGTGCCCAAGATGGCGGACAAGCCGAGCTTCACTACATGTGGCCTGATGCAGCCACAACACAGCATAGAAAGGCACACAGCGAAAGAGATAAAGATGGCGAAACCTGGAACAAGCAGCACCCTTGCCACTCCACCCAGACACACTCAGGAGTTCTTTGACCTACTCTGCACCAGCTTATGGTCAAAACTCCAATATAAAGGCCGGCCCTTCAAACAAGCGGTCCAAGCGGTAGCAGCATGGGTCTGACCAGCTACCCGACGGCAACTGTGTGAGTACCCACAGCGAGCCCCCAGGGCAGCCTCCAGAAGGGGACGAAGCCAGAGAGCGAAGCAGCGAGTGGCGATGGCTTGCCCCACAGGCGCCAGCACTCACCCTTTCAAACGTCCACAACCAGCAGCGAAAACCTCCGGAAAATCGACTGCCCAGCCCCAGCAATGCCTCAACGCACGCAGACAAGCCGGGAGGCCAGCTCAAGCAGCTGCTCGCAGCCGGAATCGTACAGCTGCAACACAGGAGACAACTTCCACACGGAAAGCCTCGGACTGTTCTGAGACCTATGCCAAAAGCCTTCCGACCTCTGGTATAGGGTGAATGGGGACACCTGCAACAAACTGGCATACTGATCTGATACTATGCCTACTGTCCCCGAGGGGAAACTGTCCGACTATATGAGGAGTACCTCACTCGACTACTCTTTAGGCTATGTGACTCCACTCAGGTTACCCATCTATGAACAAGCTTTTATAAATGCTCTATAGTTTGCTTTTTAGCTCGCTTTTCATATGCTTCTTCTTTGTTTTTCTTTAAGTCACATATCTATGTGTTCCCTGCCGGGCTCACAGCCCATAAGCCTCCTTATGCAAAGGGCCTCAATTAATGAATTAGTTAATCTCGTTGGCATGCTGGACTGGGGGCAAGTTAAATGCTACACATAAGCCGAGAGCAAAATTAGCGAGGGTAAACCAGCCTGTTAACGTGAGTATAATACTCAGACAAGCTGCTCAGGACCACCTTGTTCAACATTCTGTTCATCACACCACCAGTTAGATATGCATATGTTCACTGCCTACTGATAAACACAGCTCGGTAGATGATGTCCTGGAGGTATAAAGTTAATGATAGTCTCAGTTATGCTATAGACCTTGCAATTTAATATATTTCCCAGTATGTAGCTGCCTGAAAATACACAATGTCTTAGGCTTGATAACCTACACATCGCAGCTCATTCTGGCTATAACTGTTGAATACGGTTTAAATCTAAAAAAAAAAAGTGCATGTATACTCGACTACCCCATTGTTATATATGTCTCAATAACGCATGAGGATTGCCGTTGGGGTACCTCACATGCGTCTGTTCACTTAATATGCACTGTAAAAATAAAGAATAAAAAAAAAAAAAATGTAGAGACTTACCTGTCAGTCTCTTCATTTACCTGTCAGAGCACTCTGATTGGATGGCTTAAACCAACCAACCAGAGTGCTCTGAGCCTAATTGCAGGGTGGGGCAAGGCTTTATAAGCCTTCCCCCACCAAGCAGAACTCAGTCTGCACGGTGCCCTCCACGGGTGAAGATGGATTACCTTTTTTGAACTCAGGTTTTTTTTTTTTCATCAAAGTGCGAAGATTATTATAGATTTTTATTTGGCCTGTTTTGAGGCTGAAAAAAGAAAATTTTAGAAAAAAAGAAAACATCAAATGGTACTTTTTAAAAATTTTTTTACAGATACCTAGTTATAGGTCCCCTCTCATTATTTTTAGGGTGAGGGGGGTAGGTAGGGGTTAATTAATAGATCCCCCCCCTTATTCTAACTTGGGGCCCCCACCCACCGCTCAGGGGTGAGGGCCAGGGGGGAGGACAATAGGTCCCCCCCTTTATTGGTATTTAGGGCCCCCACCCACCACTCAGGGGTGAGGGCCGGAGGGGAGGACAACAGGTCGTCCCCCTTATTCTAGTTTAGGGCTCCCACCCACCGTTTAGGGGTGGGGTCCAGGGGGAGGACAATAGGTCCCACCCCTTATTCTAATTTAGAGCCCCCACTCACTGCTCACGGTTGTGGGCCGGGGGGAGGACAACAGGTCCCCCTCCTTATTCTAGTTTAGGGCCCCCACCCACCGTTTAGGATTAGGGGCCAGGGGGAGGACAATAGGTCCCACCCCTTATTCTAATTTAGGGCCCCTACCCACCGCTCAGGGGTGGGGGCCAGGGGAGAGGACAATAGGTCCCCCTCCCCATATTCTCATTTAGGGCCCCCACTCACCGCTGAGGGGTGTGGGCCAGGTGGGAGGACAACAGGTCCCCCTCCTTATTCTAATTTAGGGTCCCCATCCACCGCTCAGGGTGGGGGCCGGGGGGGAAGGAAAATAGCTCGCCCCCCCTTTTTTTTTTACTTTAGGGCCCCCACCTGCTGCCCAGAGGTGGGGACCAGGGGGGGAGGGGGCAATAGGTCCCCCTATAGGTTAGAAGCCCCCACTCATGCGGCACGGGTGGGGGCTCGGGAGGGGGCCACAGGCTGCTCACTGTTTACTAGACATACCACTACTCGCGGCTTGAATATACCGTGGGAATTAGGGAGTTATCTACTTACTCATTCCCATCCATTGAATGGCTAAGTAACTTACATTTTATATGAATGTGTTACTTGATTGTTGTAAGTGTTGCAAATGCTTACAAATACTGTACAACAACAAAGTGCAAATACAGTGTAGGGCGCCACTATCACAAACACAGTGATGTGTATAATTACCAGCAGAATGATGAGCTTCTAGAACTCACATAAAAATAAATATCATAGTGCAAAACAGCTTTAATTTACAATAGATAAAGACAGGATAAAAATGGAACACTCACAAATAAAATGGCACAATTGACATAAATCAATATGTGCAGAAGCGCATTTTAGCCTGTAATAGGCTCTAACCCCAGATGCAGCAGTCTTTATGGAGGTTTCAGCGATTCAGTCTCATTGATTCTGATACCTCTAGCTGCCGAAGACTTTCCTGGGCTGTATACGTGCTATATATATTATGCGTTTTCTGTCCTCCTGGGGGGCTCCATCACCTGTACCCGCTGTCGACCTAGGTGTCGCCCCCAAACTTGTCGTCCTGCCCGTACTGATGGCAGGGGCGCTAACCATGGCCTGTCAGTCTGTCCCTCGTGGGGCCTACCCCCTCGGGAGCCGCGCAGTTCTTTGGCCTGCACGTGCATGGCCCGCCCTGATGTCTTAGCTCCCCTCGCTCTGCGCCCCGGGCCTGAGCGGCCCCCTGTCCTGATCGTCCCTACTCCCTCAGATAAAGACAATGGAACACGGGGGCCCGACTCACCCAGTGTAGGACCGTCTGCAGTCGGCAAAGAATCCATCCGGCAGCACTCCTCGACCTTCTCAAGCCTGCCGTTGAGGTGCGGCGCCCCCAGAGAGTTGTCCCGCAATCCGCCGTGGGGCGCGGCGATACCTTTGCCATCATCCCACCGTCCGCCTCAGGGCGCGGTGTCGCCTCACTTGCGCCGGCAGCCATGTCTGGCGCTAGACCCTCCTGGTCACGTGCCAGCCCGCTCTGTCTCTGACCCCTGACTCCGCTCCCATCCGCAGGCCCTGCCTTTGGTCTCCTCTTCTGTCGCCTCCTGGGAACTGCACTGGGGCTCAAACGCTGGGGCGGCCTTGTCCACCTCGTGGGCCGGCGTGACGGCGCTGAAGAAGGCCCGGCAATGGGAGCCATCGAAGTCAGGCAGTCCTGAAGCCAAGTGAGTCCTCTCTCCCGAACGGCAGACTGAATTCCTTCCATCAAGGCCTCCATGCTGTGTGCTTTCCTCCGGCAGGTCATACGGAAATTTTCATCCCCGGGCCGATGTGTCCTAAGGTGGCCATCTGTCACACCTTCTGATAGCACTGGCCCTGTCAGCGGCACCCAGTCCAAGGCTTCAGACCTTTAGAGGAAGTGTTTGGGGTTAAACTGTTAATGGTTTAACACCTTAAGGTGAGATGGTGCCATGGACCTCATCACACCATAACAACGTTATTGTGATGAAGGTGTTATGGTGGCTGGAGTATCCCTTAAAGCCACAACCACAACTTGAAAAATTAGGTTGTTTATTTGCCTGTCATTTAAATGCTATTTTAATTTTCAATTGGATTTCATTTCCATAGACATCATGCAGTCAGACATTTTTACTACATCATAGATCATCAGGTTATATTGTGATGTCACAAACCAGATAACACATTGTGATGTCACTAAGCAGGTAACAGATAACCCTGTTACTTCCGTTTATACTGGCATTTCACAAGCAGTTTCATTGCAGTGAGATGATTTACAGAGACAATGGGTAACGTTATTTCTACGATTGAACGTCCCCTGGTTTCATGGCTGGCGGGTACTCAACCCCCACCCAGGAATTCTACTAAAAAAGAATTCAGAAAACAGCCAAACATCCAGCCTTCTACGGACAGGTAAGTGGATAGCGGCTGCAGGTATATTAGAAGATGGGGGTCAGAGTTTGATAAAGAGTAGAATAAAGGATGGTTTGTTAATGGGCATCATTTCTATAAATAACACAGCTTTCCTGTAGATTGAATTGTGTTGTCCCATTATATGAATGGGAGTAAAATCCTTAAAATGTGAATTTGTGTTTGATACTTGTTATTTTTCTTAACTGATGAGATAAAAAATGAACACAACAATGTGTGTAGCTTAGCCCATTTGTAGTGATTGATATAAAATAAGCAGGCATTATATACGGGGGTGCAAAAAAAAAGGAAAATATATAGCAATTAATGAAGGTGTTTTGAGTCCATAATCAGACAGGACCATCCTGTGATGAAATGAGTCTTGAAGAATTTCACAGGTTTTACACATTAAATCAAATTATTTAACCATTGCAATACAACCCAAATAACAATGCATAATATATAATGATTTATTTTATCATTTCCTAAACACACTCAGTTATTTCAAACACAAAACATCAAATGTGTGAAATATGAGACTTCACTAATCATTTTCTCTTTCCTAAACAGGCTACCTCTTAAATCAGAGCCCCAGACATTCCCCCAATTATCATCTAATCTGGATATTTCTCCAGAAACTGAGAAGGGGAAGAGGTGGGAGCCACGGGAGCAGAATGGTGGGTTTGTGGCAAAAATTCTAAAATGTTGCCAACAAGGCACAGAGAGACGTCGCCTTCCCCCTTCTGTTACATCTAAATTTGCTGTGCTTGATAAAAGGTAAATACTGTGTGATCACATTAACAAATTGCGATAATAACCTCTAGGCTGGGTGCTGGAAGAATTAGCCTGACCTTTTTTGTTTTTGTTCAAAAGCTTTAGACATTATGATACCTATGTCAGATATAGAAAAGAGGAGAAGAAACCTGATGTACCATACTATATTCGGGTGACTCCAAAAAAATCCAACTTGGAAATTCGTTATGCTCGGCCACCTAGGTAAGTGTATCACGAGACACAGAATGACTGACCATAATCCTATAAGGTTATCCAAATAAAACTGCAGGGTCCTCAGTAAACCAATACCCTGGTTCTCTCACTGGCTGTCTGTGTACACAGGAAACCAATGAGAGAAGATCCACAGATAGAGAAAGATGTCAATGTTCTTTATGAGCCAACATCACAAATTTCTGAGGAGTACTACAGCAACTTGACTTACCAGGAATTACCTAATTTCTATAAGATATGTATTTTAATATAAACAGAAGCTTTAATGGTACAAAGTAAACTATTTACTGTAATTACTGTAACCAGAATGTAATGTGCGTAACATAAATGATCTGATAGTGTCACTAACGGCTGTGCAATAATGACTGATAGATAACGAGTGATAGGGTAGCTGATGCACTGAACGTGAGAGGAAAGCTGAAGAGGAATAAGATAAGTGACAAAATGGGCTGATGGATGGAAAGGGAGAAAAGGATATAATTGTTACAACTGTATTTTAACTTTTCCTATTTTAATTGCAGGGACCCATTCCTATTCTCTAAGGTGAAGCCTAAATTACTTCCAAAACAATACAAAACAACTAAAAAGGCTGAAAGTGTAAATTATTGTGCAGAGTGTCATAAACAGGATAATATTCTACAGCCTGAACATGTCACAAGTCTAGAGGATATTCCTTATCGGCCTTCTACGGACAGGTAAGTGGACAATTGCTGCAGGTATATTAAATGGGGTTATTGGAAGATGGGGATCAGAGTTCGATAGAGATTATATTAAAGTTTGGCTTGTTAATGGGCATCATTTCCTTAAATAACAGAACTTTACAGTAGATCTAATAATGTTATCTCTAAATGAATGGTAGTAATCTATGCGGTAAAATGCTTAAAATTGAATTTGAGTTACACCTTTTAGCTATTTTTCTAAACAGATGAGATAAAAGATCAAAAAAAGATCAAATCCATGAATGTGTGCAGCCTAGCTCATTTGTAGTGATGGAAATTGAAATAAAATAAACAGGCATGATATACAAGGGTGTAAAAAAAAAAAAGAAAAGTTAAATATATATGAATTAAAGGGTCACTATAGACACCAGAACAACTACAGCTTAATGTACAAAATGTGTTTACATTGCTCCCTAGGGACACCTACAGTGGCAATCACTCAGGCAGCCACTATAGGTGCTTGCTGTGGCAATGCTGCAGAGTGTGCAGCACTGACATTCAGCGTCTCCACGCGCTTCATGAAGACACTGAGCATTCCTCTTCGAGATGCATCAATTTATGATTGGCCAGGACAGCGTTGCCTCCGCCCCCAGCATGCCTTCTTGGCTGGGATCATTAAAATTTACTAACTCAGTCAATCCAATGCTTTCTAAAGGTAAAGCATTGGATTGGCTGAGATCATCAATTCTGTTTATCAGCCAAGGAGGCAGTTTAGGGATGGAGCCCTGCGTGGCGCTGGAAAAAAGTGAGTTTAAACCCTTTTACTTTCCTGACAGGGGGCTGAGGCACTAAATAGTAATATTAGAACTATAGTGTCAGGAATACATATTTGTTTTTCTGACACAATAATGCCCCTTTATTAAATGTGTTTTGAGACCCCAGCACTATCCTGGGCTGAAATGCAGGATGTAATTATTCCAGACGTGTCAAAGGTTTTACACATCAAATTTAATTATTTAATCGTTAGAATACAACCCAAATAGCAATGCATAATATCTAATGGCTTCTTGTATCATCTCCTAAACACACTCTGTTATTCCAGAGATATAACATCAATTTATTAATGACCTTTTTGTTTTCTGGTGTGTTTTTCTTCAAACCCTTTAGACATTATAATAACTATGTCCGATTTGGCAAAGAGGAGAAGATTCCCGATGTACCATACTATATTCGGGTGACTCCACGAGAAACTAACCAACTAATGACATGTGCTCGGCCACCTAGGTAAGTGTATCATGAGACACAGAATGACTGACCATAATCCAATAAGGTTATCCAAATAAACCTTCAGTGTCCTCAGTAAACCAATATCTTGGTTCTCTTACTGGCTGGCTGTGTACACAGGAAACCAATGAGAGAAGAACCACAGATAGCGAAAGATGTCAATGCTCTTTCTGAGCCAACATCACAAATCTCAAATTGGAAAATTAAATTATTACAATACAACCCAAATAGCAATGCATAATATCTAATGGCTTCTTGTATCATCTCCTAAACACACTCTGTTATTCCAGAGATATAACATCAATTTATTAATGACCTTTTTGTTTTCTGGTGTGTTTTTCTTCAAACCCTTTAGACATTATAATAACTATGTCAGATTTGGAAAAGAGGAGAAGATTCCCGATGTACCATACTATATTCGGGTGACTCCACGAGAAACTAACCAACTAATGACATGTGCTCGGCCACCTAGGTAAGTGTATCATGAGATACAGAATGACTGACCATAATCCTATAAGGTTATCCAAATAAACCTTCAGTGTCCTCAGTAATCCAATACCCTGGTTCTCTCACTGGCTGTCTGTGTACACAGGAAACCAATGAGAGAAGATCCACAGATAGAGAAAGATGTCAATGGTCTTTCTGAGTCAACATCACAAATCTCAAATTGGAAAATTTAATCATTACAATATGAGTCAAATAATAAC